AGGTTAAGAGAGGACACATTTCCAAGTGCAGAGATGCACTTAAAATAACAACTGAAAGTCTTTGCAATGCAGACATGTCTAGCCCCAATCCTATACGCAACAGATAATGACCCAGGATGACTTACATGTTCACTGTTGCTGTGCAAGTGTCTAAAGGCTATCAGAAAAAAGAGTAACCACAACATGCTTTCGTGCTTACAAGGAAGGACTAACAGATTTTTATCATAATATAATACACAGCTCAAAGAAGACATTAACCAAAAAGAAAGCTGTCTCCACCCGTGGTGGAACCTCTCAGGAAATCTGAGAAAAACTTACTGAATTTGAAATTCAGAGATATTATGGAATATAAAATAATATGCACAAACAACCCTGATGGGCTGGGTATCAGGCTATACTCTGGGTAGGCACTAGGTGCTTGCTGTCCATAGGGTAACAGGAGCTGGTGGCCACTCTTACCAGGCCTTACAAACCATCTGGTTCAGGCAAGCTGCTTTATAGCAAATCCCTTTTCTCACTCAAGTCGGAAGACCAGGATGTGTGTTTCCCAATTTTCTCCACTCCTGTTTTAGTTTCATGAGACTCAAGTATTGTATAGGAAAGCCAAAGTGGCGAGGAAAAAAAAAATATGACTTTTTTCCTCATAAAAATTAAAGGGAGCATAAAGCAAAAGATACTTGTGTGAAAAACAATTAAAAACACAGCCATCATTAGGTAGGTAGCATGAAGGTTTTAAAATTGAAAGCATTTTGAAAAGTTATTGAGTACGTACTTGAGAAAGACTTAATTTTTTTTTACATTACATTTTATCTGTGTATCTGCATGTCTAAGAGCTCTGTGGGGACCAGAGCACAATTTGTAGAGTCTGTCCTCCCCTGCCATGTGAATTCCAGGAACTGAACACAGGTGGTAAGGCTGGGCTTCAGGTGCTCTGCCAGCTACCTGGCAATTGAAGATTGAAAAAACTGTTTCATTTCCATTGTTTTGTAGGTCTGAGGAGGTAACTCAAGAGTTCCTTTATCCTTGTCAGCCAAGCTCTCTACCATGAATCTATACTACGGTCTCAGAAACTTTATGGCACTGGGAACATTTCGACCCAAAGGATCAAGAACTTTACTCTTTGGCCACCTTTTGTGATCATTCATTTAAATATCTTCTCAGATCCTTCACTGAAAAACAAACCACAGCCCATAAAAACACACAAGTTGAGTCTCAAAGTGCAGAAGAAAATGTGTACACAAAGGCACTAAAGCCAGCCATCCTCACAGATGGGTAACCTGGCTCCTTTGGAGCAGGTGAGGCACAGGACGGACACTGCCACCCACATGCTTCCTCTGCCCCAACACTGTTCTCAGTGTGTCCGCCTCTCACAGCCAAAGGTGGGGGAGATTGTATCTGAGATGAGGTGAGGTGTGTAGGTGTGCCAGAAACTCTTGCAGCCCCAGGGTGGAGATGAAAAACTTGCCCTGGCTTCTCCCCCCCACACCCACCCCCGTTCAGTAAACACATCTACCTGGCAAGCTGGCCCACCAGGACAGCTTCTTTCTTCCACAGAGGGAGAGAAAGGCAGGTGAAGGGTATCAACAAAAACATGGCGACCCCGAGAAAGCGTACTTGCGTGCATACCATGACCACGTGGAAAAGCCAGTCCTTTCCCATGCGGAGGAAAGGGCCAGAGTGTGGAGAAAACAGTGGATACGGAGATAAATCACACTACAGGCCTATACGACCTAACTTACACACTACTCGTGTGTGTGTGTGTGTGTGTGTGTGTGTGTGTAGGGGGGGGAGTTTAGTTAACAAATGCCCTTTGAGCCCAGTGACTTCATCTTATTTTATTCTGTTCAGGTATCCTTTGGTGATGGGTGGGAGGTATTTTTGGAAGGGAGATCTCACTAAGTTAAGCTTGCAGGAGACTGGCTCAAGAAGCCAGGCTCCCAGAACCCAGTTGTCTTAGTGACCTCACTGAGTAAAATACCCAGAATCTAGCATTTCTCTTCAGGAGTGAAGGCCGTGAAACACACGGGCGTTTCTGCATCCCAGCTGGCCTCGCAATCAGTCAGTGTTTATGCACAGTGACACGGCACACATGTCTTTTGAAACGCCTGACCAACCAAGCAAGGTTCGATATCAGTAACGTACGGTGCTGAGTTACTCAACGCTGGTCTAGGTATATCCAGAAATTCTCGGTAAGAAAATAAAGCTGACCTCCAAAGGACTTAGCTTTGGGGAGGAGTGTGACCTAATTCGAGGTAGTAGGTCGCCTACCCAGAAAGTTAGGCTCTGTCTCTAGTCTCTTCTCTTTGCCTTTCTTTCTGGCCAACCTGAGGTAATACCCTCTTTCACATGCTCCCATCATCCTGGTACCCTGTCTCGCCTGATGCTCAAAGCAATGAACCCTGCCAAGCTAGGACCGAAACCCAAGTAACCCTTCCCTCCTTTCAACGGGTTTCTCCTCACGCATTTGTCACTGAGATAAAGTCAGAGATGGCTGATTAACAAAGGGCGAGATTCACATAAGAAACCCTTTCTAAAAAAAAAAAAAAATCATAAAAAAGATTCAGATTTTACTTACAATGCATTTTGTTAAGGCCTTTGTGCCTCACTGTTTTTATTTTTGGTTTCTCCGTGTAACAGCCCTAACTGTCCTGGAACTCACAGAGCTCAGCCTGCCTCTGCCTGCTTGCAGAGTGCTGGGATCAAAGGTGTACACCACCACACCCAGCAACCGTTTTTTATTTCTATTACCACCTTTTCTTTAATGCTTAAAGTCCTTAAAGGTAAGACTACATAGCAACATTAGGCCTTTGCCGATTTCAGCAACACATCATATAGGCCTTGAGAGAGGACATCAGAAACAGCCTTTCAGATACCCTTAGAACACAAACAAAAACTAAAGGGTGTAGGACCCATACAGTAGCCTGCTGAGTGGCAGGGCCACCAGATGAAGCAAAACACTAATGTGCAATCAGGAAACCACAAACTCCTACTGTCCTCTTGAATTCCTGCCAGAGGACCACTTCTTTCTCCATTTTGAAAGAACAAAATCTTTGGTGCTTACCAGATGGAGAAAACAGACCTGTGGTTTTTTGTTTGTCTTTTACAATTTTCTAATCTTAAGTGAAATATAAATTGTTCAAAATATATAATTACATACAATATTTATTACTATTTATATATGCTATTAATACTTTAATTTGACAAAGAATCTTCCAAATCCTCAACTATCTGAACAATGGGTAACTTTCCCATTACCAACGTTAACACCTCATTAAATCACCCATTGAATCTTCAGTTATCCAGTAACTATTCCCATGTTTGAGGTGTCTGATGGCTGTTGTAATCCTGCATTTTTGGCAATGGCCTACCTTACAACTTCATAATCACGTATCACAAACATATAAATTTGTGTGTGCGCACAGGTACACTGAGTTCACGAGCATCACGTGCACATAAACACATGCAAATGCCTCCAGAATCCAGAAGAGGGCATCAGATCAAGGAACCAGAGTCACAGATGGTTGTGAGCTGCCAAGTTGGTGCTAATCACCAAACCCAGGTCCTCTACAAGGGCAGTAGGCACTCTTAACTGCTGAGCCATCTCACTAGCCTCATAATTATGTATCTTTATAACCCAACTATTACCAAATATGTACGCTGAGATCCACACAAGAAAAGTTACTTATAAATATATAAGAGCCAGAGAAAGAAAAGTGTATTTTAAGATGTAGAATTTGCCAAGGCAAAAAGCAAGCCTGGGGTTTTACTGTGTGCAAGTATAAACATTTCGGAGATCCCCTCAAATGTCTGCTTCAGTGTAACAGTCTTCTTTGTTCAAGAGCAATGGCTTCTAATTTTAGATTTGTGACACTCCTGGGTGTCTCCAGATATCTCCTGAGGTGTTGTAAAGTTCCCTTCACAAAATGCCAAGTAAAATAATTTGAGCTCACTTAAAAATATGCCACACATTTGGAGGCAAGGAAGGGAATCAAATGAATAGTCACAAGGTTTCAAAAACTTGATCCTTGCCCATTATATTTAGTCCGTGACAACTAAAGAACAGATTAATAAATACAGGAAATTAAAGCAAGATGAGACAGTCTATCTGTGGGGTTTGTGGCTGGGGAAGACAGGAAAGGGGGTGGTTTCATTAGGACACCAGGAGAAACTCCTTTATTTACTAAGTTAAAGTTACTTGGCACTCACTGACTGGTAATTAGAAACTCACTGGACACTCTACCTTGTACTAAGACACTGGTGCCTTGCAGTTGGCGTCAAAGGTCTCTATATACGATCAGTTTCTTCAAAATAAACAGAGTTCAGACACTGGACCAGGGTAAGAGTAACTTAATTTTGTCAACTTTCCTCTTAGCTTCTGGCTTAAACTGTTAACACAAGGGTGTGAGATTACACAGAGGTTATACAGCACTGCTCTGCCACAGCCGATCCTTAACTTCCTTGGTCACCAAAGGTTACTAACTAAAGCACCATTGTGGGTTTGCTACTGGGAAGTCTGGCTCACAGCCATTACATTTACTATAGTTTCTAAATCTCCAGTAAAGTATGTTTCCTGATGGGTGAATGCCCCAGGCTTCCCAGCTTTCTCTATTCAGAACACCCATTTTACTTACTTGATAAATCTGACCGCGGATTTTCTCAAGCAGAGTCATATACGCACACTCAAAAGACAGCACCAAAGAAGGCATGTTTCTCTCATTAAACAGGCCTGCCTTTTCTCCTTGGAGAACCCGATTTCACTGCTTACATTTTATTCTTCCTATCATTGCCTATTTAAGTTCAGACCCACATTTTGCATGCCAGGAAAAAAAAAAATCCTTATTAAACAATCTCACACTTTTACCAACCCTATTAATAACCTTCTAAGAGGATATACAAATGGTCCCTCTAAACTAGACCTTCATAGCACACCATAAGCTGTCTGAAGGACCAAGCATCTGAAAGTCGTGAGCAGAAAAGAGTTAACAAAGAAGTGTACTTGCCTTGTTAGTAGCAGTTGCACTGGATCCAGGGACCACAGGCACATTCGTCACTTGAACCGAAAGATAATTATTGTCTATAAGTGGCCAGGCCCCTTCCACTTTGCATGTCTGGAAGTGATCCTTGAAAGTTCTAAGGTGAGGGTCTCCAAACAAGCCGCAGAAAAGGTAATTGGGAGGGCTCTGGTCCCCTCCCCTGTGTTCTCTGAGTCCTCCGAGGCTGTGGTAGTTACAAGGGTCATGAGTCACTTCTGGGTTGGTAGAGGATGTGGGTCCATCCTTGGAACAGTTCCTCTGGCTCATGAGGTCACTGATACCTAACACCGCAGAATGGTACACCAGGTTGCCACGGCAGGCTTTTGAAGTTCGCTGGGTGCAGCCGGCATAGGCACGGAGCGCCTTGCAAAAGTCAGAGTCAAAGCCATCGGTGGCAGAGTTGAGGTGTGAAGTGAGGGACACGAAATCTGTGGTACATTTCTGGATTCGGCATTGAGCTGGCTGTTGGCAGTCACCTATGGGAAAGACAGGACCAAGCATGTAAATGCTTCATCACTTCGGGGTTATCATGAGAAGACGCTATTTCTCCCTGGGAACTGTCTATTGTATATCTCATGCTCAGGTCTGACTGAGTTATCACATCTTTTAAATTAAGCCGCTGGGAGCAAAACTGGATACAGTTACCTGAAAACGTGATTGAACATGAGTCTAATCTAGGAATGTCTCCAGGTTAAAATTGCAAATGAAATATTGTTTGTTTGCTATTAACAGATTTTGACAAAGACTCTTCTGCTCCAAAGTAAAGCCAAAGACACGAACTGTTCTGATTTCTAAAGCTATATGAGTAATTTGCTTTGGAAAGCACTGGGCGAGAAATGTGCCATGCACACAGCTATGATTAAAGCTTACACACCCAAAGAAGAGCTAAATTCTAAATTATAGTATGTTTTAAGTATCTTTACCTGATTTTTGTATGGCTACAGGGTATGAAAACCACGGGCAAGAAAGTCCTAAGTCACTCTATCTTTCCCGAGGTACATTATTAACAAACTACATCCACAGTTGCAATGTCCTAGCTTCAAGAAAACGTTAGGTACTCTCCTAAAAAAGTGATTCACTTGACCAAGATCCAATTTTACTTCTTTTAACATGTCTGTCACACAGATCTTAAATAAACCACAGGCACACACACACACACACACACACACACACACACACACACACACACACACACACACACAGTATGCAACATCAAAATTGTGTTTCAAAAGATGAATCAGAACTGTAAAGCCAAGAATTCCTAATGTGTGTGTGAACATACACACCCCTCTTTCCCTCTTCACTAACAACTAGTTAACTAACAGTTTGAAGAAAAAGTTAAAGCGAAAAACCCAAGGATGAATGTCCTGTCATTAAAGAAATATTTACAAATGATCTTTTATGTCCCTTGTCTCTCATGTAACAATTCATGAAACTTCTCAAAGCACAAGAGAAAAGGACAAAACAAAACAAGACCCACTAGGTCAGCTGTGTGAAACAATCGATTACATATTGTTTCAAAAAGTGAGGACAGATTTACTGAAAGAAGCACTCACTGCTCATATATCTCAAGTTGCATAAAATGAGCTGTGGCATGTATTTGTTACTCGAAATTCCTAAACCCACGGAAGATGTCTTACTGATTTCTTCTCCCCCCATTTTAGCAGATTCCTCTCCTGAAGGAAAAAAAAAAAGTTGTTATAACAGTTTTGAGGTCTTTTCCAGGCATCAACTATCTCACGTTTTGTAATCTAGAGGAGAAAATCAACATCACTGGATCATTCAGTGATTCTGGCTAGTTTTTGTGTGTGTTTACTATGTGTGTGAGTGTTCTGCTTGCATGCATGTTTGTGCACACGCATGCCCGTGGCCCTCAGAGGTCAGGTGATGGTGCTGGGTCTCCTGGAACTAGAGTTACGGATGATTGAGCCATCATGGGGGCTGGTGAGAATCACTCTGGGAGCCCTGAAGAGCAACCAGTGCTCCTAACTGATGAGCCACCAACTCTCCAGCCTCCAGCCCCTACTGCCCCCCACTACCCCCAAGACAGGTCTCCTTGAATTGTAGCCCAGGCTGGCCTTGAACTTGTAATACTTCTGCAACAGCTTCTAAAATGTTGGATTACAGGTGTATGCCACCATGCCTAATTAGAATCAGTGGGTTATTTTTAAATATGTTAATTACTTCAGTATGTGGACATAGTAAACTTCAGGATGTCGATACCTAAAACTTCATCTGATACAAGACATCATGAAGTAATCCCTATATTGATTTAGAAAGGTGATTTAGAAAGAATATTTTAAATCTTTAATTAAATGGTAAACTGTTTTTGGCTGTAGTTGGGTGATAACAATCTATAATCATTGTGAAATTTCAAAGATCTGGAGAAGGAAAAGGATCGGTTGAGCCTTCATTTTCACTTCTGACAGAATAAAGGAGATTAAAACTTTACTATTTTGGAGCTATGAACTTCACAGCAACCACCAGACCAATTTAAAAAAAAAAAAAAAGAAATCATCTTCACGTGTTTGGTCCATTTACAGTTTGCTCGGAGCAACAAGGACCAAGGAAATTCATTTACATATAGGACTCCTTTCTCCCCAAACAGATTTATTTACTTTCAACTACATTTACTGAACAGCAAGACAAAACACAAATAACCTAACAAATTCACTCTCCCAGAATCTTTCAAGCCATTTATCAAGGGAAAGGTGTACTCAAGGCCTTGCCTTGTCCTGGTGGGATTCACCCATAGAGGGTGCCAATTACACGGCTAGTCTTTTAAAATCCGATACACAGCAAGCACAAGACAAGAAGAAGAAGAGGAAGAAGGAAAAAAAAAAAAAAAAAAAAGGCAAGGCCAAGATCACTCACTAATGAAGAGCTCTTGGACTACAAATGATGACAGCACTAGAACTTTCCGCTAAACTTGTGGGGCCTATTTGTTCTTTTTATGGTCTATAAAATCTATCCGAGCATACAGTTACTTATAATTATTTCAAATAGTCATAAAATATCAAAAGTAAGAAAAGCTTGGGGATGCAGAAGGCAAGTGTTTTCAGGAGGGTGAAGATACAACATTTCTTCCCAGTGGTCTCTTTCACCTCCAGCCGCCCACTCTTAAGGCTCCCTTTTTTTGTGTTAGCTAGATGCTGCTGGCTGCTCTGAGAAGTACCGTACAAAGCAGCTCTTTTGCTTTGGATGAGAGCCCTAACAACCCTTGACTGTAGATATGATGGGGGGGGGGCACGCCTAGCCGAGAGAAAATGCTTTGAGGTTAGCTTTCAGCTCCATTGCAGGTTCCTGTATAGTGACTCATTTGCAGCATACACCCAGAAATATCCAGGCCTCATGAATTTATAACGACAACACACACTTCGCCTGTTAGAATCGGTAAAGAAAGCCTCCTGTCAAAAAGCCAAGACAGCGCTGAACAGAAACATACTCTAGGATGTGGCCAAGGGAGGTCATGAAGTGTATGAGTAAGCAAGAACTCCCGTATTTGATATATCCACTCAGGAACTGCAAAGGTCTTAAAGTAAGACAAAATAGAGCACATATGAGAACTAACAAATGCCATTTCCCAAGGGCAGAATTCAAAAAGCACACTCACAAAGAAACATTTTCTATTTCGGGGTCAGATCATCTACAATTGGTGCGATGTGTATTATTTCCATGCCAGTTACTGTAAGGGCCAAAGGACTCGTGGTCTGGAACTTCCATCATTTTTTTTAAATGAATTGGACATAGCCCCTGCGTTTCAACAGCACCAGTCTTCAAATAGATCTCTCAAAAGGAACTTCAACAAGCCCTTTGGGTGCAACCTGGGTGTGAGCATATATCGTGTTTCTGAAAGGAAACTTGTGTTCCAAATTCCTTTAATGAAAGCACCTTGAGTTTGGAAACCTCCAGTCCAGTTTCTTTCACAGGGCAGGAAGATCTTCAGGAACTACTCTCCAATCCTGCCAGGACTCTACAGCAACCAATATCCAAGTTGCCAAACAGAACACAGCTCAACTTCCCTTTCACGAAATGCAGTTTGATACTATGGTTACATATTTTTCGCCCCAACACTCCTGAATACTGGCACATTAACAAAAAGTTTCCATGAAACCACATGCAGACGTTTTTTTCTAAGGTTCTAAAGCTACTAATTTAAATCCTTAATTATTCCACAACTGGCTATTACATTTTTAGTACGACCAGTCCATTTCCCCAATCGACAGTGTTAAATATGCAACCTAGAAGAGTTGTTTCTTCAATGTCATTTCATTCCATTCCTTAAAAGACTCCTGGCTATTTTAGCACGGTTGGTATGCCTTAACAAGTAAAAAGTTCTCAGCACTGCAGCGACATTAGAATAGAATTCTCCAAATGTTGTGAGTGTCATCATAAAAACTGGGGGAAAGACGAGGCCTCCAAGGAACCCTATCTAATGCTGTTTTCAAGCAGAAGGACAATGATCCTTTTGGTTTTTGTATTAGAGGGACAAATTCATGGTCTAGGCAAAATCTTAAAAAAATGGCACTTATTTGTAAAGAAAACAAAAACAGGCATCACATGTCTACAAGGTTTAGGTTCAGGTTTATCATCCGAAAGCACATTCATTCCTCAGTGCTGCGTCGGCAGGAGCCCTACAGGGCAGCACACACATCTATCTGTCAAGCCCGCTCGGAACCGAAAACACGAGGCTAGCCTCAAAGCACGCCTTCAATCGGCCAAACTCCGCGCCCAAAGCAGCTCTGGCAAAACCGAAAGAAATCCGGGAGAACTTAAGTTCCTTAGGAATACACCCCAAACTCGGGGGTGGGGGTGGGGGGAAGTGGAGGAGGAAGGAATCCGAGTTTTTTCATTTTACTTATTTATTTAATGAATTTATTTTTTGCACCGGGTGCGATTCCGGGCCTCGCCGCCCGCCACTCCCAGCTGTGGAGGAGCACCGGGCTCCAGCGGAAACCCGATCCAGTTAAACACCCCTGCAGAGAGCAACGAAGCCCCGGAGCGTTCCAGACCCGGCGTGGCGCCAGTTGAGAGCCGTGAACCCGCGCGACAGGGAGCGCCGTGCACGCCCGCCAGGGCCGTGGCGTTCGGGACCCAGAACAGAACAAAGCCCGCGCGGCCCGCTGCCCACCCGGCCCGCGCCTACCTGCGTGGAGCAGCCCGAGGCTGAGCAGCAGCAGCGGCAGCAGCGGCGGCGGCGAGGGCGGCCAGGGCCCGGGGCGGCGGTACCGCTCAGCCCCGGCGGGGGCGGCGGGGGCGGCGGGGGCGGCGGCGCAGGAAGGTGCTGCTCTCACGCCCATGCCCGTCCATGCAGGTCTCGTGCGCTCCGGCGAGGGCGCAGTGGCTGGGCCGGGCCTCCGGCTGCTGCATGGGCCGGGGTGCGCGCCTCGCTTCCTCCTCTTCTTCCTTTCAGGCCAGCGTCCGAGCGCAGCAGCCGCCGCCGCCGCGGTGGCCGGGGCGTCGCGGGCCGAGGGAGGCGGCGGCGGGGAGCAGAGACATCGCGGCGGCCGGGAGAGAGGGAGACAGAGGGGGGCGGGAGGGAGAAGACACAAAGGCCGTGAGCGATCGCGCGGCCGGCCGGGACCCCCCAAGCTGGCGTGGGCTCGACGCGCCCGGACCCGCGGGACCTCACCAGCCGCGGCGCGCAGCCGCCCCGAGAGCTCCGCACCCGTGGCCTGCGCGGTCAATCAATCTCAGTCCCCGCACTCTGGCCCCGCCTCCCCCGGGCTCCTACCAATCCGCGGCGGCCCCGCCCCCAGGCCCGCGCTCCTCCTCCCCTCCCCATTGGCTGCGAGCGTGCCTCCCGCCCTCACGCCTCCCTCCTGCGTCTCACTCAAGTTCCGCGTCCGCCGCCCCGCGGGGTGGGGCCGCTCGCCTAAAGGGCCCAGCCTCCTGCCGGCGTCCTTGTGCTTTTCCTCCTCCACCCCTTCCCGCGATCGCCGCTAGCTGGGGCCCAATAGGAGAGGGCGAAAGCGACTTTCACTTGGCCCGCGTTCCAGGAGAACCGGCCTTTAACCTCTCCTTGAATTAATGAGCTCAGGTTCAGCTTCCTCCTAGCTTTTTGTTCCTTGTTGGGTTTTCAGTGACCTACACCCCCACCCCTCCTCCTCCTCCTCCTCGTCCCGGCGTTTCCAGGAAGCCAGCACTTGGAGCAGGTTCTCCCCCACCCCACACCACCACTCAGCCAATCACAGCTGCTGGACCTCTTAGCAAACTTGTCGAGGTCCCCAGGTAAAACAAGAGTCCAGCTGAGCCTCCTTAGATACTCTAATGACACCCGAGGTCCACAGCAGATGGATGCAATGGGAAGGTGCTTTGCGAGCTCCCGGCGGAATTGGCTGGCAGCTGCGTGAGGCGCTGGTGTTTTGGTTTGACATTTTCCCTGCTTCAAAGCTGAGAGCGGGAGTCAGGGATTGGGCGAACTTCAACTTGTTCGGTTACAAGGTAATTAGATTAATGAGAGTGGAGTTTTTTTTTTTTTTTAATGCAGTGCAATTATTGCCACTATTTCTTTTTGCTCAGCGCCTTTTCCATAAATATCCAGTCTATTAAATTAATCCAGTGGTAGGTCTGCTTCTACTTGAGCTGTCCTCCAAAACCAAGGACAAAATACCACAAACAATCACCAAGGGTTAGCAAAGCACTTGTGGAGTTGGGGATAGGCTCCAATTTGTTATCAGTTGGTGTGAAGTGGTATCCTCTCTGGAGAATGGCGTCAGTGCTAGCAACCACTTTACCTCCCCCTGCCTCTGCCATTCCCCAAACTGTTGAGGATTGTCATTTAAAATGCATTTGCTGCGATCCAAATTACAGTTTGCAACTTGTTACATTACTCAGAATATCTAATTAGGAATCTCCTATCAACCACAGACACATTAATATTCCACATGTTACAATGTGCTCATCAATGGATCAGGATAATTGGGGGGCAAGCCTTAGGTCTCACCATCTCACTCATTAGACACATTGTGAATTCTTCAAACCACTAGGTCCCTAATGAAGGAGACCTATCTGTTTTTTTAACTGTAATTTTTCATTACTTATTACATGCCGAGATGACTCAAGTGGTAAACACACCTTTCGCTACCCAAGATACAATCCAAGCCTTATGTCTATCTTTAATGTGCTTAATAATAGCTTCAGAGTTGCCTGGAGAAATGGCTTTTCCTGGAGGGAGGCCTGGAATGTATCTGACAGTTTTACATAATGGTGCATACAAAATGCTATATTAGAGAAAAAAATTTTTTTTTACCGTCTTGCAGTTAGTACATGTAATCCATGAAACACAGTTCAGAGAATGCTAATAAATATCTTTTAAAGAGTGATCACATAACACTCTTCTTAAAAGTTCTATTAGCTTGGGGCTGGGGAGATGGATGGTTCAGTGTTTAAGAGCACTGGCAGCTCTTCCAGAGGACCTGCAAATACTTCCCAGTGCCCACTGGCAGCTCACAACAGTATGTAACTTCAGATCCGGGGCATCTGAATTCCCTTCCTCTTCATAGGCATCAGACAATCAGACACACATGGCAAACAGACATGTATGCTGGCAAAACACTTACACATGAAGAGTTTCAAATGCTTTTACCTAGCTGACTAACACTGAGATGTAGAGTTCTCTTGCATCAATATTTAATTATACAAAGGCATTGTCACACTTAGTATAACCAAAAAGTCAAAGATCAGTACATTCGATTTGGTTTGGTTTGGTCTTTTTTTGCGGCTAACTTTCCTCTCCACTTTTTTTTTTTTTTTTTTTTAAATTTTTTTACACGGAGCTTTAGGTATTCTTATCAATAGAGGGCACCCTTGAGTTGCTGAAAATCCTGATGTCAAGGAAAAAAAAAAAAAAAAAAACCTCAGAGGGGGGAAAATCATCTCTAAGGTGTTTTATTGCTCCTCTGTTGTAAAATCTGACAAGCTTAAGACATGTATGCCTAACAATTCACTTTTTATTACTGCGTAAGTGTTCAGCTGCTAGAGGAAAATGCTATATATATATATATATATATACATATATATATATACACATATATGTATATATATTTTAAACAATTAAACCACAAGGTGATTCCTATTTTTATGACATTAGGTCCTCCGACACACTCTAGGGTTGAATCTGGACTGTTAGCAAGATTTGAAATCAGCTTGGGAATCGAGGGCATGTAGAATGATCGCGAGGGAGCAAATTTAAGCAGAATTTGGGACTGCACAAAGAAAAACTCAGGGAGTAAGCTGGAACAAAATGGTGGTTATAAAAGTTTTACATTTTAATTAGGGGGAAAAATGAGGCGATAGGTTGCTTGAGCAAACCAAAAATCTATCGTATCTTGCCTCTTGCTTTCTTTCTCTTTGTTTTCAAGAAGGAATGATGGAGACCCAGCAAAGCATACCATGCCATGGACATGCAAATGGGTAAAATTAAAACGGATGCCAGAAACGTTAATAGATTCTAAACGCGATGCAGCTTCGCTTCCTGAGTCCTCACACAGTGTGTTAACTGTTCCCCAGGTACTGACTGTATCTCCATATCCAGAAACCTAACATGAGGTTCTCTGCTTAACGGCTCACCCAGGACCCAGAAGCCTGCAGTAAGAGATTTGTGCAACCTATTCTGGAGTAAGGGCTCCCTTGCCGCTCATTGCTCTGCAGTGTTTGGAAAGCAGGGGCTGGGATAGCCCAGAGTCCAGGAGCCCAGAGGCGTGTAGCTCCTGGCTTGTACTTACATCATTTTTAACCCTTCCGCACCTGGAAGGGGCTCAGCGGGATCACGATGCCCCCGAGCTCCGGAACACGCAGGACCTAGGTGTAAGAGAAGAGCCCCAGGGCTCGGTATGAGCGCAGAACCCCAGGAGAGAGAGAGACCTCGGAGAGCGCAGGGGGTCCCTAACCCTCGCTACAGCTGGCCCTTGATCCCTACAGACTCCAGTGCGGCTCGCCTCTGGCTCGCAAGGCTAGAAGCAGCAGGTGCAAAAAGCATTTGGGAGCCGCTTGCCAGTGCTTGGAGGTAATGCGCTTCCTGTCCATTTATCTCAGGAAACCAGCACTGCCTTCCCTTCGAAACAAAATTAACCTCTCATTAGCCAGCCACTCACTCCCAAGAAGGCCTTAAAAGCTTTACCCTCTCACTAATGTATTTAGGCTTTTCTTCCAGGCAAACGAAGCCGAGGCTGTGAGTAACATCAGCCCCAGGGGTTCCTGTGGGCTCCCTTAGGAGCCAGCCGCTAGCCTTTCACCAGTATGATCTGGGAAATTGGCCAACCAAGGAACTTAGTTTGTAGAAGCAGGCCGATCCCGACACCCCAGAACGAACTTCACACACACACACACACACACACACACACACACACACACACACACACACACACAAAACCAAAACACCCAAGACAAGTTTCCTTTCTCTTCTTCTTGGGCTTGGTTCACATCAAATCCTCAGCTCCATTGCCCTCAAGGGATGGGGAAGAGAAGCTGGAGAAAGTTCAGTGGCCAGCTGACCCAGGTCATGGGCGACAACTGTCCCTTGGGAAGCGCTGGGGGTGGGGGTGGGGGTAGAGGGGACAGCCTTCCTTAGACTCAGGTCGGTTCCAGGCATTGCGACATTAAACGTGTCCAGGAGCCCTTGGAACACCAGGGCTTTCTTACCCCGGCCCCGCCACCCTGAGCCTGGCAGATTTATACCACACAGGTGGACGGAGACCTAAACAAAACAGCACCGGCCCTGCCTGCCGCTCGCAACCCCCCCCCCCCTCCCGGTCTTCCTGGCCCACCGCAAACTTCAACAAAATAAACAACTCACCACAGGCATTCCCTTGTCTGCAGCGCGACGCTTGCCAGCTGGGAAAATAAGCCGCAAGCCACGCGGCGGCCGGAGCGAAGGGAGGCCGCTCTGCTCCAGGTGGGCGGCAGGCAGGCGGCTCCACCTGGGGGCCGCTCTCCAGATGCCGGTTCCGGAGTGAGCTCCGGGGCAGCGGTTGCGCCCTGCCAAGCCAGCGGGGCCTCTGCCACCTAGGGAGAGAGGGCGGGGAGACAAGTCCCTCTCCCCAACTTCCTCCAAACTGCTCTCTCTCCCCACTCCCGGCCCCGGGCCACCGCCTCCGACGATCTCTGCAGGGCTGCTCCGCGCTGCACCGCGCAACCCTGGCTGTCCTTGCTGCAGACCCGACGGCTGGGAGCGCGGGGCGCCCCTGCCCCTGGCACCAACCAGGTCTTGGTCAGCTCTCTCCTCTCCCCGGGTCCTACACTCGGGCTCGCACAAAGGCGCCTTTCACGCCGCCAGCACCGCCCTCTGCGCCGCCCTGCGGGCCCGCAGCGCTGCCTTTACCCACCGGCAGCATCCCAGTCCCGGCGGGGGACCCTGCCGGGATAGGCAGCGGCAGGCGCGCGCGCCTTGACGCCACGAGGGCAGCAGACACTCTGCTCTGGATTATTTCCTCCTCGGCTTTCTGAAGCTGTCCACCAGCGCCCTCAAAGGCACGTCCCCGCAACTATTCCTCGAGGGTCTTCCTGCTGTGTGTGGCTATGAAGCGGGTGGCAGGGGCGGTCCTCTGGACGTGTGCGCGCTTTAACGGTGTTATCGTTCCCGTGACTTGGACAGGAGAAAGGGTAGAAAGGCCCCCCACCACCACCCAAGACCCAGAAGAGAGCATTGTGTTGTCAGAGAACCGACTTGGGGGGGGGATGTTTCGGGGCGACAGTCCCTTCCTCTCTCGTGGAATGAGACGGGGGAGGGGAGGTCTGGCTATGTCCCTGAGAGTGGGTCTTGGGCTTCGTGGACACACACACAGCGGCAGCTACTTAGCTCGTTCATTTTTCGAGCAAGATTGCTGGTTGTTTTTCTTTTTAGTTAAAGACGAAATTCCAAGAAGCTGTACTCAGTTAACCGCGACCTTCCCCTCCCCAGCCCATCGCCTTTTCTCCACCTAACAGTAGAGTCAGCTCAGGGCAGTGTAAAAGGGGCGGGACTTGGACGGGTTTAACATCCTAACCTTGTGTTGGCTGTAAAGGAAAAATGTGGCAAGTTGAGGACTCAGTCCGTCCAGGTTCAGAGATTCCATGACAGCACATCTCTCATCGCATCCTTTGCGTGCATTTTTGCCTTTTATATTCCGTTATCTTCTCCAAATGCCAGGGAAACTGGGAAACAACAAACAAAACAAAACCATTTCAGGCAGTGGTTCTCACCCTTCCTAACGTTGCCACCCTTCAATACAGTTCCTCATGTTGTATTAACCCCCCAACCGTAAAATTACTTTCCTCGCTGCCCCATAACTGTAATTTTGCTATCATCATGAATCATAATGTAAATATCTGTGTTTTCTGATTGTCTTAGGCGACTCCTCCAAAACGGTCATTTGATCCAAAGGGGTCTTGGCCCACAGGTTGACAACCACTGATTTCTTATCTGTAAGATACACTGACAGAACCCTACTGTGTTTACTACTGAGAATTTAAAAAGACAGAAAGAAAGAAAGGAAGAAAGAAAGAAAGAAAGAAAGAAAGAAAGAAAGAAAAAAAAAAAGGTGGTGGTGGTGGGCCCAGTTCGTGGTCCACAGAAACAAGGAATTTTAATGTTCCCACTTGTTTTGCCTCTGAAAAGCCACTTGAGCAATCAGCATAGCAGGGCTCTAATTTAGAAACGAAAGGCTAATGGCTAGTTTCCTGAATTTTTCCTTTTCCTTCTACCAATGCAAAGACACGCTGTTGCATAACATAACGATGAAATAGAGTTCAAAGGAAATCCAGGGGGCCAGTACAGAAGACATCTTCCAGTGCAGCCTAGTCCTTCAGTCCTCTGCACAGCTAGCTACCTTTCGACTGCACACAAACACGGACACAAGCCTTCACAAACCTCCTTTTTCACAAACACTGGTCAATGCAAACTGGGTGCCAATCATTGTGTGGACTACTCCAGCATACATTTATTTAAATCATACCTTTAACTTTTCCTTAGTCCTGTGATTGCTTTCAGTCCCACTTTGGAACCTTGAGCTTAAGTTCCCTCTGTGGTCAACTGTGTTTCCTTGTAGAATCTTTGAAATTAATGCCCAAAGGGAAGACATTTCATTATGACCTGCTACTTTAAGGCTACGAGTCTTGTCTCCTGTTTTGACAACACAACTTAAGACCTTGCCTATTTTCACTTGCCTACTTTTATTGAGCTACATGATTTTCCTCATCCCCCTCCCTTCCATTCCTCCCTCCTGCCCCCAATGCTAACAGTTTACTCAGAAACTCTTGTTTTTTTTTTTCCACTTTCCTTAGACAGATCTATGTATGTCTCTCTTAGAGCCCTCTTTATTACTTTGGTTCTCTGGGGTTGTGGCCTTTAGGCTGGGCATCCTTTGCTTTATGTCTAATATCCACTTATGAGTGAGTACATATTTGTCTTTCTGGATCTGGATAGCTTTTTCTAGTTCTGCCTGCAAATTTCAAGATGTCATTGTGTGTCGTTGTCTCCCCCCCCCCCCATGCCCCAAGTAGTACTCCTTTGTGTAAATGAACCACATTTTCCTTATCCTGTCTTCAGTTGAGGGGTACCTGGTTTGTTTCCAGGTTCTGGTTATTACTAATAATGCTACTATGAACATAGTTGAGCAAATGTCCTTGTACGGAGGTTTCTCGGGAAATTGGGAATCAACCTATCTCAAGACCCAGCAATACTTTTGGGTATATACCCAAAGGATGCACATTCACACCACAATACTTACTTTTAAAAGATAACTATTACAGAGAATTTCTTTTAGTTGTTCAAATCTCCGGGAAAGAGCCATAACAGCAGGATACGCATATACTGTGTTTAATGTTTAAATCAGGGTAGCTGACTTTCCATCTCTCCCCTAACAAGTGTCTTTGATTAACATGGATATTTGTACATATTTAAGGATTAAAGCATGATATTTCAGTACAGGAATGTAACATGTACTGATGGAATCAGGGTAATTAATGTTTCCGTCTCATTAGTATTTTGTTGCCTAGACCTGCTTTCCTATTGGCCAACAGTGTTTCATTCATTAACCAAGAAGAGAAACATTTACAGAATGACATCTCCCATCATCTCCTCTGTCTAAATAAAAAGAAGGGTTTTAACCTTAGCATAGAAAATGTATCACGTCAACAATGTTTAGACCATTAACATTTAACAAGATTTAAATATTTTATCATCTACCCTATCTTTGTGAGTCTAGAGTCCTATATGTACCTTATCTTTAATCCTAACTAAGGAAAACTATAACCATAACTATTTGTCTTCAACTCCATCAAAGACCACAAAAGGATAATATATAAACTCTTGAACTGACAGAGACAACTCACTGCCTGGTCAGTCATCCGAAGTTCTTCTGTAATGTTCCATCTTCAGCCCATAGGCCATAGCATGTCTGGCAGACTCCTCAGCAAAGCAGGAAACTTTAAACTGTCTGCCTGTATTGGCAGTTTACTGTCCGCCTGTATTGGCAGTTTACTGTCCGCCTGTATTGGCAGTTTGTCAGTCACTTTTCTCTGTGTCCTGCAGAATATCTGGCAGACTCTTTCATGAAGCAGGAACTCTGTAGCAATGTACATCATGAATCAGCAGTCACTTTTCTGTGGGTCCTGCATGTCCAGTTTATACATCATAAAGTCAAACAGTCCAGACAAGAGTAGTATCTTGCCCAAATGTCTAGTCCTGCCATATTGAAAGCAAACTCCATAACGAGTTTCTTTGATGTCCATCTTCCTTTCTGACACAAGTGGTATTTCTAGGAGCAGTTATGTCTCACTGTCAAGAAAAACCCTAAACCATTTTAAATGCCATATTCTATAGGTCTTTGAAAGGTTTGAAGAATGCTTTCTTTTTCTGTGGAAACAAAAATAGAAATCCTTTTCCTCAGTAACCTGTCCTTGGACTTAAATTTGGAAGTCAAAGCATTTTAAAAATATATAAATTGAATTAGTTCAGCAGTATTTCTCTTAATAGTTGTTATTCCCTCAGCAGTCAAACAATTTAAAGACAATAGAATAGTGTATACTATCCAAAGTTTCTCTGTGCTTTCCATCTTTAGGGGACTTTTTTTATTACTCTATAATTTTTTACTTTTATTTTTTCGTTTTTTGAGACGGGGTTTCTCTGTGTAACTTTTATATGTCCTGGAATTAACTCTGTATACCAGATTTACTTTAAAATCACAGAGATCTGCTTGCCTCTGTCTCCCAAGTGCTGGAATTAAAGGCGTGTACCACCACACCAGCTACTCTCTCTCTCTCTCTTTTTTTTAACCATTTTATCCTGTTTCTTTTTCTCTTCCAAGCCTACATATATTTTAAAACACAGCATAAAACTTTAGAGGTATTTCTTAATCTGAATCTGTCTTTACTGTAAATCTTTCTTTTTGTGGCCACCAGTCTTTTATCTGCAAAATAACAACATTGCTAAAATGAAAGCCACAGCTGTATTAGCCGTAGTCTATCCAAGATGGCGGCGGGTACTTTTACTGCCAGAACTGAGAGCTGTGCTCACTGCCTTGGTCTATGCTGCCATCCAGCAGCATGTTGCCGGCTTGGAGATGTGGTCACTGCCATTGCCAGCTTGCATACACACCATTAAGTTGTTAGCAGAGATCTTTAAAAGCCTTGAGGTTTTTTGCTGCTTATGCTGAGTCAGGAAACCTCCCTTAAAGGAGCTGCGCAAATTTATGCTTGTCTCTAGCATAAAAAGAGTTCAACCGAGAAAAATGATGCTACCAAGAAGCCTTGCTTGTCTTTGTTCTTTTGCTTCTAAAACCCTGTTTTTAAGCTTTTGTTAAGTTTTAAGTGAAAGTTCTTATTAGCCACACAGCCGGCACCATTTTGTTATGAGTAGGTTTTTCTGCTACTCTGGTCC